GATATCCGCTGCTGATATATAGGGTTATTAGTACAATCATGAAACAAACTCACACGCAGTAGTTTTACGTCACACTGATTTTCCGTACAGTCCCATGGCACCAGTGTCTGTGAATGTGAGAGTTTGGCAAGACTGGTCTGATATATGAAAAGCATGCATAGTTTTATCCAGATAAGACCAGAAAAAGGTGGAGCTGAGAGACTCTTAGATCTGATATGAACAATTTGTTAGCGATCTAAAGAGATTCTTGGACTACATGGCCATCCAAAAGCCAGTAATCAATAAAACTGTTGCTTGATGTGAGGGATTGTGTGGTTTACATTTATGGCTGTTATTACCCACATGACTTGTAGTATATTATTTTCATTTTTAAGGTTGACTAATAACTTATAGTGTTGTGTGCTATTCTTTAAAAAACTATTATCTATTCTCATAAATACTTTTTGGCCCTTTATCAGACCATCAGACATGCATGCACTATGGCCTATGGATAATGTCAGCTCGCTACTGCGCGTGTGTGTGCTCTGTGCCATTTACAGTGTGTTGCAGTTTCTCATTATGACCACTGAGAGGCGCTATTGATACATGTCTAGATTCAATGACAGCCGCTTGGTCAAGGTTAAAAAAGAGGCAGACATTTTCCCCCACAAAATAGCTGTAAATAATAATTATCTTTAACAATTAGGACAATTGTGGTAAAAACATAAAGAGCTTTCAAGTAAAGTGCAGGCCTATACAACCTTTATCAAGTAGGTGCTTGTGATTTGTATAGGTTCTAGAGGAGCACTTGGAAATAAGTCAAATTATCACCCAATCAGGCGGGCTCACATCTCCCTCATCCTATTACGCTGCTCTCAGCTCTCATCATTCACATCACGACTAATCCAATCAGACAGGCAGCTGTTGGTCTGAAGCAGAAGATGGTTTCATTACAGGCAAATGAAGTCACTTTGACTCATTTTATGAAGGCACAGATTCTGAACTTAACATTTGAGCATTTTAGTTTTGGTAAAAATCAATTGTCACAAGTCCTGTGGTTTCTTTCAACACAAAACTGTAAAATGGGGCATCTCAAGTTGGCAATGACAAGTTGTGAAAAGTATGAGATCTCAAGGATCGAAGATGAAGCAGGAGAAGTTTTACTGAGTCTATAAAGACACAGAGCCAGCGTCTTGGCAGGAGAGCAGTGGGAGCTGGCATCACTTTCAGCAGACAAAAGGATTAATTAATAACAATCTAATATTATGGCTCTTTTAACCTTGACCAATACATACAGATTGAAACTTTTAATCCATTGATTTCTATTGATTTCTCAATTCATCTTAGTCCATGTTTTATCTACTTCTAGAATGTCTTAATGTCTTCAACACCTTTTTCCATATTCCAAGTGGATTTCATTCAAATTCTTACAGTTCATGGTTTCTGAATCGAGTTTCATCCCGATGTTGGCACTGTGCAGAGCAGGAATATAGTCCAAGAAACATGTGATTAATGAAATTAGGAATCAATGTCTTCAGGAAATCTGGGTCACCCCTTTGTTATTTTATCTCTGCGGCCCCAGCTGACGCTTGTTTATGTCACATCATCAGAACACTCGTTCTACGTGTCTACTACCACACAACCATAATCCATCCTACGTTAGTCTACTGTGAACAGGAGCAGCAGGTTTGGAAATGAAGCTAAAGAAAAGTGCAGAAGTAAGTAGCAAAATATTAATACAAATGAAAGACCCTCATCAAAAGCATTACACCTGTGACAGATGTTTACACAATTACAGCATCAACGATCACTACGCACATTCTCACTGTCTTCTAAAACTAGTACAGAAATACAGGGATGGAAAGACAGAGGGGTTTGTTTAGTCAAAGTCCATCAAGCAAAAGTTCTGTTCTCAACACTGTGTAAATGTTTGGCCCAATACCCTACATCACATATTGTTTTATGTTAAATCTATGTGAAAGTTATATTGTAATGTCTATAGTTTAAAACAGAATGTTTAGTTAGGAGAACTTTCAACAATGTGGGTTAACAACCGATTTAACCCCAGCGCCCTTTACATTTAAATGTACAACATTTAATGTACAGAACTTTGTGACAACTCTATGTCAGTGTGTTCTCATTCTTTGGGATTAATTTCTCAGCCTCACTACAACAAATCTGTGCTAATTCGTTTACTGCTTGTGGCCCATCTTTCCCATTCAAAGAAATCGACTTTAATTCAAGCAGAGCCCATGAACTGCAGTGCAGTTCTGCAACAAGCAGCTCCTGCTGCGCATGCAGCAAATACAAATGTGCAGTGATGACACGCAATTGGAACTACTGTTGTGGTGAGCGTGACCATGCTAGATTTGGTACAATATTTGCAGTTCCCACAAACATAAAGAAAATCCTCATCAGATGGAACTGAGTGTTGGACTAAGAGCATCTGGACAAAACTCTAGAGCCGTTTTTCACACATGGAAATTTACTATATGGCTCCACTGTGTATTTCTGTTTCCACAGTAAGAACTACAGACATGAGCCAGAAGCAAGGATGGCACTCCACTCCGTGATTGGACAGACAAGCGCTCCCACTGGATGGCAGGAGCTCAGGGAATGCACGCCTCAGTTCTAACCAGTGAAAGTAAAAGAGACTTGTAAAGAACAGACTTCCGTCTGCTCACACTCCTCGCCACTGTGACCGTATGATAATCTAATGACCTGTGGCTTTGGTCTCCCACGCAGAGCCCCTCGGGTCCCGCCTTGTTTCCCCGCTCTGTGGCACGTCCATACTCACACATGTGTGTTTCTATTGCTGTCTGTCACGGTGTTTGTCAATCTAATAAAGTTTTCTATGATTTATGTGAGAAACAAGTGTTGATATTTTGATGTTAAACGGTAAAAAAGCACTTGGTCACAAGTGACAGAGCTGTGAGGCGCCATGGGCTTCACTGTGTTGTGCTCTATATAAGTATAACTAACATATACATATAATCAAGAATAAATCAAGAAATAACCGGGTTTTTTCCTTGACAGGGCCAGAGCAGCCATTGCAAAGAGGCTAAAGAGCTGTAGGTTGCCGCCCCATGGTCCAAGTAATCCAATTCTGCCTTTGAACATTCAACTAGATTAAACTAGGGCCCTCCTGTTCTTACTTATACAATATGTTTGTCATGATATCACTAAAATTACTACAGATAATACCAATACAATAATATAATCAAGTAGTGGAAAAAGTTATAGCCGAAATTTGGATATAATGCAATCTCCACAATTGACCTCTGTTTGCACTTCAGATTAAAACTTTGGGGGAAACTTGTTGGTTCACATGTCGACCAGTAAGTGTTGAGAACAGAGCAGTGCCATACAGGACAACATCTGAAAAGTCAAAAGGCAGCAACATCAACTCCAAAAAACAAACTCAAAGACATACAAGAAGCAACAAAACACAATTATTTAGATTTTTTTCAATAAAATCACAGTACTACTCTCCACTATACAAAGCACATGGCGTGGGTAGGGTTACACGACTTCATTTACATTTAATTCTCGGTCTCCAGCCAGGGACCCCTCCCAAAGGAGGACCCAGTGGGGGCGTGTGGGGATGGGGTGAGTAGGGGGATGCACTGGGCTAGGGGGGCAGAGACATTTGCACACCGACCGCCTCAGAGACAGACAGCAGACAGTGTTTCAGTATAGATGTGTTAACATGGAACATGTAGAGCGTTTATATAAGGACCTGTGTTTGGACACAACTGTAGCCCAAGGACAGCACATGGTCTTTTAGTCTTCATGACAGATGGCAGTAGCAGTAAGTACTATTGTATAACAAAATCATGCACAATTTACATTAGGAAAAATAACTATACATACTATGGCTTTGTGTGTCACAAATCAACACATTTACTTTCGGAAATTTTGGTTTTATGGCTCTACGTAGAGTATTGCTGGAATGTAGTCTATCAGAGCAAACAGACTCTGAGGCTAGTGACTTCACCTTTCCTGAGAAAAGGGTCTTTGAATGTGTATAGTGCAGTGTGTTGGAATGGTTGCATGCACAACAGACTGAGCACAGTCACCTGTTTGCCTCTGAGCAGGCCCGACGCTCCGTGCCGCTCCCCCTGGGCGGCGCTGAAGGTCAGGCATTGACCGGTGCAGAGGAGGGGGCAGGGGCCACACCGGGGCTCTCCAGTTGATAAAGGCCACAATCTGTGATTGAGGCGAGTGAAAGGAGAGGTCACACTGACGTCTTTGTTCCTGTGTAACTCTTTTACATTGAACTATCGTGTGACAACCGGCCGGACCCCTCTCTTCTCTCCTCTGCACTGGTTTCTATGGTTACGATAGCAGCCTAAGTCCTGAGGGCTTCTCACAGGAGCCATCGGGACACAGACAGCCAATGTCGGCCAGTGCACTCGTCCCAAACGCACACAGCAAATGTTGCAATGCTTGAACAAGACATGCCAAATTATGTTGCTTTTTCACATGCAAGGTGCATTCAAAAGTGCTTTTGACCCGGCACAACCGTCCTTACTGTTGAGCTGTGGTCAGAATAATAAAAAAAAAGCTTGTCAATACTCTATGGTGTTTTTTATTCTTACCTACAAAGCTACATGCATATGGCTTGAAACAAGGCAGACATAGAAAGATGAAAACTACAAGTATGAGTTATGGATGAATACTAAGTCCTCCAGCTACGGCTTTCTTTTGAAGTCTATATGATGAATGGAAAACTTGACAACCATGCCAATTTCAAATAATACTCTTAAAAGCTTTATTCTTACCAAGTACACAGGATTCAAACCTATACCACAGCAAGGCTGAGAGATCAGGGTCATTCTTCACAAATAAATTTATTTGAGTCATGGCTTCATTTGGTGACTTCCAATGACTAAACTGAGCCATGACTGCAACATTTCAGACTTTTTTTTAAGTTGTAGGCTGTGTGTGTTTGTGTGTGTGTCAGACACGTCTATGGGACGTGCTCATGCCTCCCCCGAAGGACCCCTGGCTGCGTTGTTTCATATCATTTTCATATTAAACTTCCTGGTCCCTCCTGAGGCGCCAGAGGTGGCAGGCTCAGATTTCCTGAAAGAGTACTCCACTGTGAAGTTATTCCTTCGTTGACCACGGCCCCGGCTCCAAACAAACAGCAGTAGAAAGCAGAAAAGCACAACTCCCAGAAAAGTGATGCAGCCCATCGCAGTGGAGACCAAGATGGTGGTCAGATCCAAGGTGAATTTGAGAAACACTCGTGTGCTGTTTATGTTAGAATCATTGAAGAACTCTCCGCTGTATAAGGAGCGGTTAAGGAAAAAGGCCGAGGCAGCATCCAGTGGTTGGCCCCGAACTGTAAGTGTGGCGAAGTAGGTGTCGTTGCCCCCAGCATTACTCGCGATGCAGATGTACGTGCCGCTGTCAGTGAGCTGGGCGTATCGGATCTCCAGGGTGCCACTCGGGAGAACAGTGATGCGGCCTGAAGTCTTAGATGTGATTCGTCGCCGCTGAGGGGAAATCCAGACAATAGCAGGTGCTGGTTCTCCTTCAGCCCGACATAAGAAAGTGACAGGCTGCCCTTCACGAGCAATCACCTAAGAAAGATTTAATACAGAAATAACAGAGGATAAGATAATTAACCCACTGTAGGTTTCTCAGAGATTTGATAAACTTTGCAATATTACAAAAAAAAAATGCCACTGACTCTATTCTAACAATTTAAATAATCCTACCTGCTGCATTTTGCGGTTGCGTATTTTGGGCTTCTGACAGGTGAAGTGGTCAAAGAGAGCAGAGTCGGTGAAGGAGCTGAGACTGACGCCCTGCACCTCCACCGGCCCTGTGCACACTGGCACTCTGCCGTCAAAGTTGAGGGTCTTGCGTCTCTGCAGGATCCACAACAGACGGCAGTCGCACATCAGAGGGTTCCCATCCACTCGTAAAGTCTCTAGACTGTTGACAGAGTGGAAGGAGCTCTCTTCCAGTGTCTGCAGGTAATTGGAGGAGAAGTTTAGGACTCGGATCTGCCTCAGACCTCCAAAGGCGTGATGCTCCACTGTGGTCAGCCCCGTCTTCACCATGATCAGCTCCTTTAGCCGGAGGAGGTCTCTGAAGGCCCAGGACTCCAGAGTGGAGATGGGGTTGTATGACAGGTTTAAATGAGTAAGGTGAACCAGATTTTTGAACGAGGCAGATGGGACAGATGTAATGTTGGTGTGAGTGATAGACAACCAGTGCAGATCCAGGCCCTGGAAACTTAATGGGGAGATGAACTCGAGGTAGGGCCAGTGACTGATCTCTAGTCCGCGTAGATTGGACAGTTTGCGGAAGTTCTGGTCCTCTAAAGCTGAAATGCTAAGATGATGTAGGCGGAGGGTCACCAGGTTGCGAAGATAGGATAGAGTCTGGCCCGAGATGGAAGTTAAGTTACACCGTGCTATTGTGAGCTCCTCCAGCCCCACCAGCCCAGCAAATGCCTGAAAATTAAGATCACAGGGTAAGATGTCAGTAAAAAGTGATGTAGTATTTATATACCATAAAAACAGACCTTGTGAGAAATGTAGACCAGGTCATTGTCTCCTACTTCGAGGTGCTTCAGACTTTTAAGATCTTGAAATGTGTAATCAAGTAAAATCACCATTTTGTTCTCACTCAGGTCAAGACTGGTTAGATTACCCAGCTTAGCAAAGGCTCCAAGTGGGACTAGCTTCAGTTGGTTTCCTCTGAGCTTCAGCACTTTGAGATTCATCAGAGTTGCAAAGGCGTTTGGCTCCAATGTGGCAATCACGTTTTCACTCAGGTCCACTTCCTCCAGTCGGGGATAAGGGGACAAGTCGCCCGCCTGCACCCAGCGAAGACGATTCTTGCTGAGGTCTAGAAGTCGTGTCTCAGTGGGTATGCCCTCTGGAATGTTGGTTAGACGCCTCCGCTGGCACGACACTGACCTGAGCTGGGCCGAGCACTCGCATCGTGGGGGGCATGCCAAGCTGCTCCCTGGGAGGGTTAGGGTCACTGTGGCCACCACCGACACCGCCAGCACCCATTGCCACACCCTCAGCCATGGCACTAGGGCGCCAGGGCCGGGGGAGCCAATCATGGCCCTGAGCTGCCGACTCCGGTGCCCGGCAGGTCAGTACAGCATCCACCTGAAAGAGGGAGAAAATAGGCGTAAGAGCAATAGACTGTGTATATACAGTATACTAGGGGTGGCAAACATTAAACTCAGATTTGCACCATGCAGCTCGCAGCTCTTTACTTTTTACTTTTGAATGTGCTGGAAAACGGCAGCAGGTCCTAAGTAGCTCTGAATCAGTTGTTGTTTTGTGCTTTATAAATGTTATTTTTCTTGCTTTTTTCTACCTGAGATGTTGCTGCAGTACAGTGTTCATGGTTTTCCACTGGTCCAAACCGGAGCGGAGAGGATTTATAGTCCGAACCAAGTGGATCAGATGAAAATCCATCGGAGGAATGCTAACGTTTTGAAAAATGCTAATGAACCATTCAGCATTTTACTTTGGACTAGAGCAGAGATAATTCTCCAAACCAAGTGGCTACCCCACCTTGTGACCTGTCCTGCTCCACCCAGAGGCTACTCCATCTGTGCTGCTCTGACTTGTCCTGCTCCACCCAGAGGCTACTCCACCTCTGCTGCTGTGACCCATCCTGCTCCACCCAGAGGCCAGAAATTACACATTGCCAATCAGCTTTGGTTGCCACACATTTTTATAATATATTAGAAATAGATTGCGCACTTCTTTTTATATATATGTATTTTTTTAATTCTATATATTTTTTGTACATCCATTTCACAAGATTTCAGGAGAAACGAAGCAAAGAAGCCTGGACACACCATAACTTTATTACATCACAAACTCTAGAGGGAGACCGTGAGTGACTGTTCTCCTGTGGATAGGATGTTATTATAACCATATGTTGGCTCAAGAGTAATTACCCATAAAAAAATCATATTTGCATCAAGCACTTTCAGAAAACTGTGTCATAAAGCTGCAAGGCCCCACTCTTTCTAACAGACGCACGTAGGATGTGTGTGTTGTCAACATAGTGTGTCAGTGATGATGGTGTGTGTGATGGATGCCTCCAGTGGCCGCAGTCGCCCCAAGGCATCTCACGGTTCAGCGCAGTCACACAGGGTCATGGCTGCTGCACTCAAGGACGACCAAGGACCCTTCAAACACAGCACAGCAGGCCTCTTCCAGACTGTTGGCATCACATGCACGCCATGTTAAATGAACGGGGGCTAATGACATGATACTCCTCAATTTAAAGCTATAAATCTCAGAAAAAAACAACCCAATAAGTTATATTTCTATCAATAATGACACCCAAACCTAATTAGTACTCATTGAAAACTGTCAGTCTACAATACCCCAATAGACTTCTTTTACTTTGGTCCAGTTGTGGTTCAATACAAGCATAACAACACTGATTTTGTTAAAAAAAAAACAACCAAGAAATAAAACCAAAATCCTTATTCAGTAAAAAAAAAAAAAAAAAAAAATCCCAAAATGCAGTTATATTGTGAAATGATTGAAACAAATCAATAAACACAGATTCAAAAGCCATAAAAGATCCTTCCACAAACACAATTAAAACACCAGATATCTTGTCATCCACATTTCCTTCTCTAAATATTTGAATTTTATTTTAAAACTTAAGTGTGTGTTTTGCCAAATTAAATGAAAAAGTAACCAAATAAGACAATATATAAATGAGGCCCCCGCGGAGTAAACAAATGTCGACCTGTGATAAAGAGTCCTGGAGGGTTTGAAGCACAGGTGCAGCCTTGTACCTGGTGTTGTCTTGATTTAGTAAAACACATTTTCACAACCTGCAAATGAGCACTGACCAGATGCTCTGACGGCACTTGTAAATCACATCCAGCTGCAAAGGAGCAAAAGTTTGCGCGGAAACAGTCTAGGGGGAATATGAGGAAGAAGAAAAGAAAACATGAGTCTAAAAATACCCGTTTTAGGTAGCTGACCTAATGAATAGACAGATGTTGGGTATCCAAATCACCGACACATCATTTAACGCTTCAACATCCCTTAACACTTATGACTGTGGCCAGATGTCTGCATCACAAACACATTCACCCCGTTTGAAGCCAGATTCTAAATGAAAACATACAGTTGTGCAGTGTATGCAGTAAATAGGTCATCTATAAACGCTGCCACTCTTTATGTTTGGCCAGCAGAGCATGACTCTAATCAGAACTCACATCATTTTTGTGCACAAACTGGAACCATTTAGCGGCAGTGGAGGTGCCTTTACGCAGGTTTATTTTGTTCATATCATTTCTGAACAGTATAAGAATGTTAAGGGTGAGTTTATTTGTACACTTCCATACACAAGGCAACTCAAAGTGCTTAACAAATGATGACAGTACATTCAAACAAGTGGAGATACAATCCCTCAGTTGTATGCACAGCAAAACAAATCTGTATTTTACCTGGATTTGACCGTTGTCAGGGTAGAAGCCTGTCTCACAGTAGAAGTCTCATATTTGGATTCATTCAATTGTCGTTTACAGTCAGGAATTCACAATGTCATAATCTGATGGCAAAAAGCTTTCACTTGTTGGAGTTTGTCAGGTCGTTGAACTGCATAAATAGTTCAACCATCACAACGATGGAGAAAACAAAAGAAAGGGCAATAATAAAATGGGTATAATGTCAGGAGCTAAACTCAGAATGATAGCTGGAGCTGAAGTTCAAAGCATTTCTAACCAAAGTGTAAACCTGACAGGGTTTTTCATTTCACAAGAAAGCTGACAGTTTGTACTTGCCATTGCTAAGAACCTACAAATCCTAGATTAAATATGTGCTTAGTCACTGTGGCTTAGAGCATCCTTGCTTAAGCTTTCTCTGGGAGGTTGGAGATGGAAAAGACTAGAATCAGCAGTGATTGATAATGTTTGCATTACATCATTAACAGCTGAGGCGGCACAACTCGGCAGAACACCGGCACAACAGCATAAACATATGGAAGTTCAATGATAACCAACATTATTTTTTATTTTAGAGCCATCAGGTTTTCCCTAATTTTTCAGACCAGGACCCGGTAACTGTCCTCTTACCATAAAGAAACCAGTCTTCAAAATCCAATCTTTAGAGTTGTAAAAAGGTCCTCAAAATGCATGCATGCTAAAATAGTTGATAGTTTGATTTCTACAATCTCTCATTAATCTGGCTCACATTAGATCTAATGTTGCACTAAACTCGCCTCCTGCTGAGTCTCTGTACAAACATGTTCAGCTTCAGTGTGGCCTGATGGACAGTGACACGCACTTCTGACCTTTCACTGATCACAGTAAACGTGTGAACATTGCTGCTGCTGTGTCGTCTGTAACGGCGTTTGGCTCCGAGATACAAAAACGTATGTTAAAACGGCAACAGATCAACTGATCAAAATGATATGCAACAATATAGAAAGTATGTTTTTATGCAAATCTGACTTTAGTGCATGTACTATATGCATGTAGGTTAATATAATGGCACAAACATACTTTTGAACATCCATATATCGTTATTGCAGTGTTAGGTTTGATTTATTATTATGGTTTATTTATATTAAGCATTCATTTGCCAGTTACAATATCTTGGACTGAATTGTAAAAGATGGTTTACGGTGGATGATAATTGTCAACACTGATAATTAAATAAACCGATTTTTAAAATAATTAAAAAAATTAACCCAAAATCACAACAGCAGCAACACAATTATCTATTTTACCAACGGAGAAAAAAAACAATTATACAATGGGCAATAATCAGTCCAGACAACTACATGTATGTTTATTATACGATGCATAATAAACAATAATTCTGCTTTGATTAAAATAGCAGCCATTCTTTGGGGATTCTCTAAATACTTCACTTTGGGCTTTTCTGCTTCATTTGGAGAAATCAATGTGTATCAAGAGGAAGTTAAATGCCTTATAGCGATGACGTCAACAAACCACAAAGAGACAGAAAACAAAATGTAAACAATATGTCAAAATGTCTATCCTTTTCTTTACATCAAAACACCGTGTGTGGAGGATGTTTAGAAGTGGAGCAGAAAGGTTGTTCATTGGTGAATGTTTTCACTTTGAACAACACAGAGAGCACAGTGGGGGGCGGCTGGTTCAGCAGGGGTCTGACTGAGTCCTAAGGGCCAACAGTTCTGGGGTTTACCATTTACACTCCAGGTTCCTGCAATTTCATCGTTACAACAACTCCTTTCAAAACACAAAAGGCCCATTAAATCATCTAAACACAAAAGATGTTGTATCTTTCTGCTCCAGGATATGCCATCTTTAGATTTGGTTCAGGAAAAGTGGAGAAACTACTTTGAATAAATGTGTATCTCAGTGTGTGGAGCTGACTTTACTTTAAAAACACACCCATCTGGGAAACTATTTACAAAAGACGTTCTAAAGACGTATGAGGAGGAAAAAGAGTCATGGGAAATAGGTGTAGGGTCAGAGAGTGTTTGGGCCTGTGTTTTGTCTTAGGGTGTGTATGAGTGTGTTCAATTGTATTGCTTTTGTTTTGTTATTTTCTAAAATGTTTGTTCCAAGTTGTCTTGTCTCTGTATTGAACGGGCGAGAGGATTTGGAAGTTTATATGCATTTGTTTTTATCCAACCTTTTCTAAAATGTGTCTGTTATTCTGTTCTTTTGTTCTGTACAAATGTGGTTTACTATAATAGGTTTAGAAATACATTCTCTTGATTAAATGTCAGGCACAACCAAAACCAAACATCAGCATCAGCATGAGAAGTGAAGCATCTTTGAGTTAAATTAAAAAACGCGTGGAAAATGGGTGCTATCATTATTATTACTAGTGCCTTGTGTATGAATTGTGCTATACAACTAAACTTGCCTGTGCATGTGCTTCCGTCTGAGTCTCCCCAGTGATTGTTTTAATCTTTTTACCCGGTGAAAAAAAACACAGCTCCCTTTAGTCAACACTTAATTCATTTGTAAAAAAAATTATTATAATTTTTGTCTGCTTTCGTCCACAAAATATTCCCGTCATAGTTTTTGTCAGAAACGAACTGATTGGAATTATATGTCTTCTTTGCTTAATCTTT